CTGCAGCTTGTGAAACCCGTGGAAACACCATGTCCTTGAGAGCTCTCCCTCCCTGCCAGATCTCTCCAATACGTGGGTTTGAATGTTACGAGGGACCGAGACAGACGTGCACAGAACACGATTGCAAAAACTTCTTGTTTCTATAGAAAAGTGAGCTAGCAACATATTTTTGCATTCTTTTCTTCCTTAACATTTAGCATCTACCTGAGTCACAGCTTCACATTTTGCAACTTTTTTTTTTTTTTTTAATTCTGTTTCTGGTTAGTTTGCTTACTTGTTTTTGCAGTCACTGAGACTTTTCTTTTGAATTATCTCACGTCTCCAGAAGCTGGAGTTTTAAGATAAAGATCACAAAGTAATGACAGTCAGCAACACCGTGCTAATGAAAAGCAATGGGCACGTCTCTGAGGTAACCGGTACTTCGAGATGTCTTGTCCATGAGGAGCTCACTCAGGGTGCGTGTCTGGCATGCCGGAGATGCAAGCACAGGAGAAGTGGGACTCTCCCAGACAAAAGCTGGGAGAAGTGTGTGATAATGTGTTTACCTGCCCTTCCTTGAGTCTGGATAATTTCACCCCTGGAATGCCTGCCTGGCTGCAGTGCAAGGAAGGGGGCTGCTGTCATCCCCAAAGATTTTGTCATGTTCGGGTGACTGCCCGTACCCAGAAAGAACAGGACATTCAGTGAATGCCTGCTGGCTCCTGGGACCATCTCTGTACAAACACAAGAGTTTTGCATTTGTGGTATCTGGGCACCCCTGATTTGTCCGCCTCATTAGAGAAAACTACATGCATACAGAAAATTCTCCTGACAGAGTCCCTCCAGTCATCAGATAAGATAATTTCAGAGCAGTAGTCCAAGTGAGCTCCATCTCAGTGACCTGGTGAGGAATGGCCACACCTGGATTCCCTGATTTCTGGTCTTCCATTCTTTTTCTGCCTCTCATCTGTGCTAGTCTGTTTCTCTGAGCCCAGGGGCTCTCTGGCCCCAGCCCTAGAGGTGTTGCTGAAGAGAGGACTCTTATGGGATGTTTCCTTCAGAGAGGGGCAAAGCCTCGTGGGCTCGTGATGCCAAGCTAGCTGCTGCCCACAGCGGTGGGTCCAGACTAGCAGATGTCTGCATCATCCCCTCTCGTCTTTCTCTCCACAGATTTGGTGAGCAGCTATTCTATGACCCCCCCTACTCTCAGCATTACTGAGGAGGAACACATCATCAACACCAAGGATACGCTGACCATCACCTGCAGGTAAGGTGCATGGCTCTGCCTGGACTGCTCTTACCTGCTGAGTGTTGGAAGACGAGGCACGGAGAGCCCACCAGGGATGCCTTGGCTGCAGTATGCCTGCAAATGAGCACGGCTGACTAGAAATCTGCCACATTCAACAAGTGTGAATTCATCTAATTAACTGATCGAAAAAGAAGCTGAAGACATCTCAGAGGAGATGGTGATAACCTCTGCTGTAGTCTTGCAGGCTGAAGGAAGATAGGGAAACATTTGTGTGATCTGATAGCTTCCTTGTAAGCTCTTCAGGGAAACTGCCTTCCTAACTCTCCTTGCCTTTCTCTCACCTCATCAGGGGCTGCTAGGGTTGTAGTTCTGGTTTCTAAATCTAACAGGTCATTTTGGGGGACTTTGGGAAATATCCATGGGAGAAGGCAAGGCTGCACTTAGCGGTGGCTGCCAGCTTTTCTAGAAAGCTGGGAATTTATGCTCTGCCTTGTACACATGAGGGTGAAGAGAAGCCCCAGCCAGGCCAGGTGAATAACTCTGTGAGAGGAGCTGGAGAATCTCTGGTTGTTTTAGAGACTATGGCTCTGAGAAGGTGATGTACCTGAACTGATTTATCCCATGCTGGGACACTTGGCTGTACGTGTTTTCATCACTACCCCCTATCTTGGAAAGAAAGGAAAAAAACAACTGGGAGAATTGACCAAGGTCCATTTGCCTGACAAAGCTGGAGTTTCCCTTCAGCAGCTGAAAGCAGATCCATGCTGGGGATCCGAGTGCTAGAGCCCAATGGGGGGATAACTTCAGCGTGGGCCTCAAATGGGTGTTTCTCAGTGTTATATATAACCATGGAGCAATTACTGCAAACACTTGGCTGGCATTGTGTTCGTGTCTTGTCACAAACATATTTAACTTCTCCTGGAACAGATGGCATTGCTTTTCCTTTGTGAATCCGTTCATAGCCAGGGGAGAAGGGACAGAGGAAAGGTTGTTGATGGCCATACTGAACTGATTTCACTCGGTCTGGGAAGCTAAGCAGTTGCGGGCTTGGTCATAAGGTGACCTGAGGAGCCATGGTGTGTGCTAGGTTGTAGGAAATGTGTGAGTTGGAGGACTGTGGTCAGCCAAATATCTGCTGTGAAGGGCACAGAGGAAGAGGAGGGAGTCTGGGGACTCCAGTGCTCTGCCATGGCAGTTCTCTCTGCAGAGTGATGCGGGAGCTGACACTCTGTTAAAACCTTGGAAGAGGGTAGATTCGAGATTATTCTGAATTAGTTTATAATCAGGCCAGACCCTTTCTCAGCAGTGGTTCAGGGAGGGACAGAGAAAGTGTTTTTAAGGCTGTGTTGGTTGCAGGTTGAGCCAAGGCTAAAGGACATACTGAAGTTAGAGGTGTGGTTAAAGAAAGTGTCTTCTGCAGTCAAGCATGAATATACTTGCTTAGCACTATGAAGTGGGAAGCCTTTCTTTTCGCTAACCCTCCTGGACTGGGAAGAACAAGATTGCCCTTTCTTTGTACATTTGTTATGTGTCGATTAATATAAAGGAAAATCACATGAAGCATAAAAAAAAAATAAATCTTATTTCCAGTGCAGACTCTGCCTGTCCTGCCCTTGCAGGGAGCATTGTACAAGCTACAGAGTCTCTTCAAGTGGCAGCAAGCTCCCTGTTCCCTGCTGCAGCTTGTCTTTCAGGCTCCCTAGGCAGCATCCACACAGCGTGCTGGCATGGACACAGCTGAGATAAGGAACATCCTTACCCCTGGCTCCCAGGTGCGGGACTGAACTGGCCAGCCAAAGAGCAGCAGGGCCATCTGCAAACAGTACTAAACCCCAGGCAGCCTCTGTTTGTGTTGTTCCCTGGCTCATCCTGCTATTCCAGATATGCTCTTTGGGGGCTGTGTGCTGGCCTTCGCACCATCTGCAGGTAGATAAGTCTCAGCATCTCCTGCATGGCTCAGAGGTTCCCCTTCTTCCTCTGAGCTCTCATGCCTGTGTTTGTCTAACGTCTTGAGGAGAGGATTTTAACTGTGGGACACTATTACTTTATTTGAATGAAAAGTAAATCTTTCCTGGTCCCTGGATCTCTAATTACACCCAGCTGCTTCTCCAACCTCTTCTCTGGACCATGGCCCACACTGGGAAGACCTGGCTTGTGTTAATGGGAGCTGAAGGGAAAAACATGCAGACCACCAAGAGAACAGGCAAAGGAGAGGGTGGTGGGGCAGGGTAGGGCAGAAACACATATGAAATCAAATCCAGGATCCAAGGATTCCCTGCTGAGCATTGTGTTGGAGGTGGCTTCAGTTTGACCCTGGTCTTCCCTTGAGAACAATGTCCTCTGGCTGCTCTTCCAGCTGCCCTGGAGCCAGGAGTATGGGCCTGCTGCAGCAGAAAACTGAGCTCAAAACCCCCAACATGAGACTCCCTGGAGACCTTTCAAGCTTCACCCACCGAGCGTGAGATTCCCGCAGCTGACTGTGCTCTCAGGCTCCCTTGCAGCACCCTGGACCTCACACACCCGCAGCTCTGCAGTTCCCCTCCCGCTCCACAGCCTGCCCAGCCTCACTGGTGACCAGAGGCCGTGCCAGGCTGTGGGATAAGCGATGAGTCTGGAGCTGGGCATGCTTAACAGAGAGGCAAAGACACAGAACACCCACAAGGAGCTACCAGATGCTGGGGCTCTGCTTTTACAAATGGCATCATGTACAGGTACATTCTACCCGTCACCCAGTGCGATGCACCCTTGACAGGTCCAGACAGAGCAAAGGACCAGTGTAGGAGCATTCCCCAAACTATAGATCATGCCAGGGCTGGCTGAGAGCCCCAGTGATGTTTTGATCTCAGCGTGTGGCAGAGCAGGGCAAGGGGGCTGATGCCAACCTGGAGAGTGTATCTTTTATTAGCTTCCATCCTGAGAAGAAAGGAAATAATATGGTGAATCTCTGCATTCATGCCCTCAGCAGCCTGTGCTGGGGAAGAGTGGAGAGCTTGTGATGTTCCAGCTCAGGAATATTGGAGCAGAGCCCACAGGAGGTGGCTGCGCAACAGCAGAAACATGCAGAGGGATCAACTTGATCCTGGCTGTGACAGCCCAGCCCCAGCCATCCCATCCTGCAGGTGCTGGGCACTCAGGTGGAGAGGGAGCATCACTCAGCTGTGGTATTTAGAAAAAGAAGGGCAACATTGTCCTTTGCTGCCGAGTGACTTGTTAATAGAGCTGACTCGCAGATGCTTGTGGATGCACAAACTCTGCCCTGGCAGAGAGGAAGTATTTGACCCTGGAGCCCTCTTGGCTCCTGGGGAGGAAATAAGCACTGTGGCAGGGCTGAAGGAGGCCAAGGATAAAGCAGTGCCCCCCACCATGACTGCTCCAGAGCAGTGTCTGGGGACACACAGCACCTGCTGCGCTTTCCTACGTGTATGTGACTGCTGTCAACATCCTCTGTGGTGCTGAGGAGGGATCTGTCTTACCCTCAGTAAGCCACAAAGCCACAGCCAGCTTTGCCCATCATGCTATGCTTGTGAGCTCCAAAGAAGATTGAAGAAAAGTGGTGCCAGCGTCTCCCTTGAAGACCATCTGTCCTGAAAAGATTTAGGAAAGCAGCTGTGCAGAAGCCTACAGTGCATCTGTTTCCAGCTGGCATCAGCAGGCTCCATCGCCCAGAGGCACATTATCACAGAGCTGAAAGAAAACAACTTGGGAACAAATCTTCGAAGGTGACAGATAGGAGGGAGGGAACCATCCAAAACTGCTGCCTGGACCTGTCCCCAGATGAAGATGGTAGATTGAGAAATAAGCCCAAGTGAGCCTGGCCTGCCCTCATCCGTGCCTTCTTCTGGTCCTCTTAACACACCAGTGATGCCGACTTGGACTCACACTGATGCCTACACCTTCTGTGTCCCCACTCAGTCTGGTTGAGCAGCACGTGATGCAAGGAATGCCTGAGTTCAGAGCTGCCCGTGGGCTGGTTGGTAGGTCTGTTTGTACTGGCCCATCCGTGTTTATATAAATACGTGTCACTCAGCTACTGCTGGCCTTGATGGTTAATAAAACAAGTGGATCTGATAATGCGTGAAAATCCCAGTGGGTAAACAAACAGAAAGCGGAAACGCTGGAGACTTGTACAATTACCCTGCGTCACGTGGAGCGCCAAAAATGCCTGAGCAAACGCAAAGGGCTTTGGGGCTCCTTTGTGCAGTCAGGGTCTGAAGCTCCCGGCTCTGGGCTGAGAGAGGGGCTGGTCCCACAGTCTGTGCCTGCAGCGGGGCCATGGGTGCAGCAGCGATGGGCACAGCAGAGGCCACTGGCTGTTACTGGTTTGGTGTTCAGATTTACTATTATTTTCCCTGTACATGCATAGGATGGAAAAAACTCAAAATTCGGAAGTCTTATTTTTACTGAAGTGTTTGTGAGACTCTGATCCTTTGGAAAAGCCTGCCTGTGATTCATGGACACAGCCCCTGGAGCTGTACTTCCAGTCCTGCCTTGGGCACTGATGGCATTTTTAGTGAATGCAGAAGTCTGAGCTGGGTCAGAGGGGCTGCGTGGCTGTCCCCGAGAGCACATCACTGCCTCCAGAGCCCCTGTGCTTGGTGACACGGGGAGAGCGCTGCACACTGTCTCCAAACTCATCCGCGGTGAGCTGGGCAGCAGGAGCTGGAAGAGAGCAAGGTGTGCAGGAAGATAAATCAGCTGCTGAAGACAAACACAGAGGGACAGGTCTTTCCCCCACGCTTGGAAAGAAATCCTGTCCTCATGCATCTGAGCCATTGTGCCCTCAGATGGCACCTTATCTTGCTTCCTCCTCACTGTCCCTTGCTGTCTGGATCCAGCTATTGGTGATGGTCACAGCCTGGCTGTGCTTAAAAGCATCTGTCTGCAGAGCTGCCCTGGCAGAGAGCTGCATGTGCCAGCACACTTATTCCCAACTTGCATAAGAGATGAACCCTGTTTCCCCTAACAGAGCCAATGATGCCGACAAAAGGCCATTTTCACCCCCACAGCTGTCTCTTGTGATGTCATCTTTTTTCCCCATTTCTTTTTTTTTTTTTTTGGAACATTCTTAAGTGACTTTCAGGTATACTGGTGAACTTTCAAGTGGGGACTAGGCCTTCCTCTGAAAGGGGCTCTGATTTCACAGAAGGAAACTTCCAGCGTAGAATAAAAGCTTATTTTGTTTGTAGTAAACAAGCGCAGTTATAGCAAGCTGTGGTGGCATGTGTGTGTGCGTACATGTGCATATGCAAGCCTCCTGCTCCGGAGATCCTTGGCTATATATAAATACACACGTGCATGCTCTGTCTGGGGGTTTCTTGCAGTTCCTGGACTTTTCTGTTTGTCTTTGGGCTGCTGGTGAACAGGCTCTGTGGTTGTGTCTCTGCAGAGGTGGGAAGGGGCAGCAGCCCCAGGCCAGGCAGGGGAGCGTGTTGGGGGGCTGCAGGGTGCTGTGCAGAGCAAGGGAACCCCCTCCCACAGCAGCAGGGAAGGAAGTACAGCTGGCAGCTGGGCAAAAGGCGATGAGCTGATCCTCCCCTTGTTTTTTCCTTGCTGTCTTTTATCCCTGACTCCTGCTTTTCTCTTTCTGGTTTTCTTTCCAGTCTGCTCTCCTTCCCTCGTTCTCCTTCCCACTCCATTCATCACACCATGAGCCCCAGCCAGCATCTGCACTGAGCCAAGGGAACTCATCACATCTGTGTGTTTTCTTAATAGCTCTGGCCCCTTTTAATCATGAGAGGAAACAGAGAATAAATTGAGTCTTTCCCTCAGAGCCTTGTGTGGCTCCCTGTCCTGGCATCAATACTAGTAGGACAAAATCATGGGAGGGGGAGACCTGCTTGTGAGTGGGCTGGTTTCTTACAGCTTAGCATGGCCGGAGAGGTGGCCTGGGGAAGGGGACAAGCCTCTGCTCACCCAGCAATTAGAGAAGCTGCCTGCTGTCTCCTCATGCCTGTTTTTCTCCTTGGAGGATGGCCATCCCTCCACGCCGCAACCTGAGAGCGGTGGCTGGCCGGGCCACGTGCAGATGTGCGCAGAGTCACACAGGGCAGTTTAATCCCCGCTGCATTCACCCTGCACGGCCCGAAGGTAACTCTGCTCTTCGTCCATGTCTAGAGGCCAGCATCCCTTGGAGTGGTCGTGGCCTGGGGGCAAGGTGGACCCTGCTGGAAAAGAGAAGGAGACGGAGCTGGTGGCCTCAGCAGCTCCCAGCAGCGGCCGGACAATCCGAGAAGAAGACTGCGAGGGGACCGGCACGAAGCCGTACTGCAAAGTCCTGGTGCTGACAGAGACCCAGGCGAATGACACGGGTTACTACCGCTGCTACTACAAGTACATTGATGCCAAAATTGAGGGCACCACAGCAGCCAGCACCTACGTGTTTGTGAGAGGTAAGAGCTATCCAACAGTGTGCGCCTTCAGGCTGGGGGAGCTCGGGGCAGCCTATGCACCAGCATAATATCAGAAAGATTAAAATGCCTGACGTGTGCCCCCCGGCCTCCCAGGGCAGAGCATGGCTGCTGTAGGCTCAGGGAGGGGGCTGAGGGCTGGCTCCCTGCACTTCGAGGGAACCAATATCCGTCCACTTCTGGGGGATGGCGGCAGCGCCTGGGATTCAATTACGTCCCAGCCTGGGGGTATCACTCCAGCCGGGCTGGAATGCAGGAATTTAAGGAGTGAGAGCTGAGCCTCAGAGACGCTCCACTGCTAAAAAAAGCACAAGAGTTAGCTTCTGGGCAGCTGTGGGCTCTCTGAGATGCTAGTGGCTAGGGATGACAATGTTCTGTAAACTGAGAGAGGAGTGGTACAAACATGCCATGTGCAGCCTCCTCCTGTCCCCAGGCAGGATGGCCCTGGAGCCACTCCCCCATGGCAGATGCAGATGCTCCTCTTCACACTGCCTGCACAGAGGGTTTTGGAGGAGGAGGGCTGCCCACCAGGCTTGAAGCTGGAACCTCAGTTCAGCAAGTGGCTGTGGGGCCAATACTCACTTCCCCATGCCCAGGGGCTCCTCCGCTGCTGTCTCTCCCACTGCTCACAGCGTGCGCCAGCAAGATAAATGAGTGCTGTCCTCTGGAAACAGTTGGCTGAGCTATTTCTCTTTCCACCCCCATTTATTAGTTGGTGCAGTTGTCACGAGCCAGGCAGGTCATGACATACAAGAAGCATTTTTCAGAAGTCCCAGGGCAAAGCCATATTTGCCTCTGCAGCTATGCAGAGAAAAATGCAGGGGCAAATCAGAAAAGCTGGGCAGCTGCTGGAGAGGAACTGGGGTCTGTCTGGGCAATTGCCTCTTCTTTCCATGGGCTCTGCTGTCCATCCTAAAACAAGACAGAGCTTCCCTCAGTCCCAGATGTGTTGTGAGGAGATGTCTGTGAGTTGGACAGGGGTGTTCAGACACTGAAGTGTTGTACCAGGATGGAGGCAGAGAGCTTCTTACACACACTGAAAATAAGTACAACCTAACAGGCTTACATGCAGGGACTGCTTTTGCAGCCTGATTTTCTTTGTGATCCAGCCAATGCCACTTCCTTTGCTCCCTTGTCCACCTTCTCTCACCTCCATCCTCACCTACAGCTCAGTAGTGACTCTGCTGTTTACCAGAGAGCAGCAAGCATGCACGTGCGGTGTAGGTCAGGGAGCAATAAATCCCACACTGTCAGGGCCCGTGGGACTCACTGTGCCTGTGGACAGCGTGTGTGCAACAGATCCAGCCAACACCTCCCAGCGTTGCTGTGCACATGGCTACACAGCACATGTTCCTACTCATTCCAATCAGGCTGTGCCCTGTTACAGCTATCAAACATCCAGGAAACCTCAGAATCTGCCTTTCCAGACAGGACAGGCTTTAAGAGAAGGGACATGTCAGGAAAACCCAGGCATACGGTAACCGTAGCCATTGCAGAACATCCAGATAAAGCCCTGCCTGTTTCTGCTGAACTGGGCTGCGATGCGAAACTGTCCCTGGAGAGCTTGGAAGGGCTGATGTAAGTGTCAGGGATGTTTGGAGACAGCATGATCAGACCACAGATTTATCCATCAACCTCCTTTCTCATGCTAGGAGCTTGGTGGAATTGCCAGGAACAAAATATCTGTCCTTGGCTGGAAAAATGGGTTCTTCTGTGTTTTACCTGCAGCTGAGTTCTCAAATGAACTCTCCATGCATATCTCTCATTTCCCATGTGTCTGGTTAGGTGTGTGTTTTATTACAGCTGCAGATAGTGCTGTAAACACACAGAATGCCTTGTCAGGGTGGAATAGGCTGTGTACAGCCCCCATCTCATAAGGCTTAGCATATATTAATGAAGAAGATGCTAAATTATTCCCACCTGACCCATTAAGACAGCCTCACAGAAAATATGTGATGTGGTCAGAGCGGGGAGCTAGTGCATGAATCACAAGCTCATTGGCAGCAGGACTAGCCCAGTAAATCAGTTCTTGGCTGCCATCTGAGCTTGGAGGGGACCTCATAGTCTCTCACCTCTGGCAGTTGTGCACCTCCTCCCTCTCACATGCCCAGGGCTTGGGAGAGGAATGAGGAACATGTTCATACTCAGAAACAAATCTGTGATTTCAGAAGACAGCTATCCTGTGGCAGCACAAAAGCCCAGGAAATAAAGATAAGCATCCTCTGGGCAGTCCTTTACAGACCAAAAATTAAAGGAATTCCCTTATGCACTTAAGTGTGAGCACTGGGTTGGGCCGAACATAATTTAAACAGCAGGATCCCCAAATGGGGACCATTACCACTTTCATTTTTGACTTCATTTTAGATGGGCAGCTTTAGGGCTTGGGTAGCAGAGGAAAAGAGTCTCAGGCTGGACAAACAGACATCCTCATGCTACAGTCCCTTTAAATCAGTGGTTTAGCTGCAATCCAGGTGAATAGAGAGTACCCATTAAGGCCACTGGGATCATTTGCTCTGATTCCATCATACCAGAAACCGTAAGATCTCCCCTACCAGGTCCCTGGGGCAGCCCCACCACTTTCTTGTGGAGCCCCTTTCACCCAGGGGACAGTTTCCATGAACAAAGCCAATCCTGACCATGTGCTGGGTGGACGTTTCCAGAGACATATCCCTTACAGAGGAAAGACACTGGCAACACCAGCCATCGGCGACAGTAAGGACCAGTCTGTATTCAGAGCATCCTGTGAGGCACGTATCCGTGTGGAAATGGGCAGGCAGGGGCTGATATTACAGAAGAAATTAATCCATCAGTGAGGCACTGCCAGAGGACACTAAGCAGCCTCGCAGGTCATTGTCTCTTCTTCCAATTTTGTCTTCATCCCATTTAGTCAACCTGGGTGCCCTGTTTGGGAGTCCAAAGGGTAGAAAAAACACACAGACTGAAATTTTAATTTTAAAGAAAAGTGCTGCCAAGTGGACAGGGAACGGGTGCCTCAGGAGCAGCTGGCATGGGGCACTGCAAGACAAATCTTCCCACCCTTCCCAGGCTTGGGTTACAAGTGTATTCTGCATCTTGGTCTCACCAGCTCTTTCCAGTGTATGTGAGGAAGAACCAGAAATGGGGTCCATGCTGCGCTGTTAGGTTGCCATCTCCCTGGGATGGGGTTGGACGTTGTGCTCTGTGTCGGGATGGTGCCTGGCATGATGGGTGAGGGCCACGGCACATCTCCTTTGTATGCTGCTATCAGCTCCCTTCTGCCATGGAGTCTCGCTTGGGCTTGTCTCATCTGACATGCATGGGGCTGGACGGGGCAGCCCCTTCTGCAGCCACATTGCTGCTCTGCATGGAGTTCAGTGTAACGCCCTGGCCTTGATAAGTTGTTTCACTGATTAGTTTTGGGTGGTTTTGCTCTTCCTGTCAGTATTTGTGCTTGCAGCAGTTGGGAGGCAGTGGGGTGGCAGCCCTGGAAAGCTCAGCTCATCTGTTTATCTGCCGGCCGGGATGGCTGCAGGATGACATCTGCATACCATTCCGCTGCGGATCACTTCCTCGCCCTGGAAGGTCACACTGCCTGCCCCGCACCAGGGCGGCACAGCCCCGCGCTGTCCCCAACGAGAGGCCGCATGCAGGCACCAGCTGGGCAGGCACTGAGCCCAGGATGAGACCCACCAGTTTCACAAATGGTCACACCCAGGCAGAGACCCTGAGGGGGCCAGAGAGGGGAGATCATTTCCAGCACTGCCCAAATGTCGCACAAGTGCCGCTCCACTGGTACCGTGTTTGGTGCGGAGGAGCTGGCTGGCCCAGGCACTCACCTCAGCTGTTCCCTTTGTGTTCCCAAGCTCCAAGTGTCGCCTCTGACTGTTGAACATTGCAGATGGGGCTATCCAGCTCAACACCACTCCCTCTGCCAAGCTCATGGTGTGTTAAAGAAAGCCAGAAAGCCTCCTTCTCTTCTGGTTGGTCCCTCTTCCCAGTTATTTCTTGCCTCTGTTCAGTTGTTCTTCTCCTTGTATCTCTTCTTCAGATTTTGAACAGCCATTTATCAACAAGCCGGAGACCCTCCTCATCACCAAGAAGGAGAACACCTGGGTACCATGCCTCGTGTCCATCCCGGATCTTAACGTCACGCTGATCTTGGTGAGAGCTCGGCCAGTGGGAGACTCTGGACTGAGATGTATTACATTTGTTCTGCATTTATAATTGCCTGAATGGAAGCAGGACAGGCACTGCCAGGAATGGAAAATGCATGGGCTACATTTTCCATGGAAAGTACGAGCCACTGGCTTCCTCGTTTTATTTGCTGGTTGAAGCTGTGCTGTTCAGGTCCCTTGGGCAGACCCCACAGGTTTCCTGCCAACCTTGCTTCTCTTCCCTGGAGCTCTATGAAACAAAACAAGACTTTGTTTTAATCCCATTTCCCCACAGCATCCCCTCTTTGCTCTGGTCTCTGTGATCTACAAACCCTCTAGTCGTCAGCATCCCCACAAGGGAGGAGGCTGCAGCCCTGGGGCTGACGACTAAAAACAATTCTGTTATCAGTTTGCTTGTGCCTTTTTTTCTTTTCTGTTTTTTTTCTTTTTTTTTTTTTTTTACAATGCAAATACATCCTTCCAGGATGAATGTTACTATTGTACAAAGGCCTCCAGGGACACTCTGGGGGCCAGGGGCCTTTCCCTTGCCCAGGAAGGACACTACCCAAGGTCACCACTCATCCCAGTGAGGCTGATGTTTGGGACATCAGCATCAATTTCCTTAGCTATCTCTATAAGTTTCCATTCCTGGAAGTCTCTGGCCCACTCTGCAGATGGAGAGGCTCATGGTGCAGGATACGGCTGCTCAACTGCTCAGGGTACAGGGGAGGCCACGATTCCTAGATGACAGACCTTCAGGGGGAGAGGGCAGGAGGCCAGCACAGCATGATGTTGCATCATTTCTTCCCAGAAAAGGGATCTGGGAAGGGGAGGAGAAGCCTGGAAGGGGTGCGGTGGGAATGTTTTTACCCTCTTATTTCAGTTGGCAAAATGTTGATTTTTCCAGCAAAATTCCCTCATCCATCCTGACGGAAAAAGCACTTTCTGGGACAACAAGAAGGGGGTGCTGGTACCCACACACTTGATCAGAGACTCCTTGTTCGTCCAGTGTGAGACTGTCATTGACAAGAAGGTCTTCAAATCCAGTTACTTCATCATCCATATAGCAGGTGAAGGTTTGGGAAGGTGCAGGGCGGGCAGTCTGGATGGCTGAGAAGTCCATCAGAGTGGCTTATGGGGTTGCTATGGTCCTCTCTAGCTACATAGACTCTGCATGGTGCTTATATCTCCTCTACTGTTAATGGAGAGTTAATAGATCAGAAATGTCTTTTCGTTGCCTCTTCCTCATCAGGGAGTGAGCTGTACGACATCCAGCTGTATCCCAAGAAAGCCATGGAGCTGCTAGTGGGAGAGAAGCTGGTCTTGAACTGCACAGTGTGGGCCGAGTTCAACTCTGGCGTCCGCTTCCAGTGGACTTACCCTGGCAAACAGGTACCAGCAAACAGAGCGGCTCCCAGGGCTCTGAACCGCTTCCTTCTGAGTCGTCCCCTCCCGCCCCTTCATTGTTCCACTTCACATCATTGGCAGGGCTCTGCTTCATGATCCGAACCATGCTGTGCCCTGAATATCTCGGTCTGAGTGCTTTCCTATTTTTCTCTTCTGCAGCAGAAGGCAGGCAGAGGCAAGACCCCTTTTTCTGGCAGAAAGCACTTTTCTCACCAAGGTGTTATTGCTCTGGGGCTCTCCTGGGCAAACACTGGCTTCACTTCCACCAGTGCAAATCCAGAGCAAATATTGTTGACTTAAAAGGAGCTATTCCAGCCACCCAGCTCTGGTTACCGAGAGCCTGCGAGGGGGTCCCTTCCCCACTGTGTTTTCCCCCTGTGGTATCCTCTGGCTCTTGTGAACAGTGAGACAGGGGAGTCCCCTGAGGGCATCACGCTGTTCACATACCTGCAGTGCTCCCGGACTGGTTACTGGACTGCAGAGCAGAGCAAACCATGTGCTAAACTCTGACACCAGCCTCAGGCAGTCAGTCACGCAGGGCTCATTGCCTTTCTGTCTCTGAGGATGGCAGTCAGTGGCACAGACGCCTGTCTGGGTAGAGGCGAGCGCTGGACAGCAAGAAGTGCAGATGTGAGGAGCCCATCTGCACCGTCCCATCCTTTTGATGTCTTTCATCCACTTCTCTCAACCATCTCCTGCAGACTCAGCGGGCAGTGATGGAGCCTGAGCGCCGGTCCCTGCAGACACACACGGAGCTCTCCAGTATCCTGACCCTCCACAATGTCAGCCTGCAGGACCTGGGCAAGTACACGTGCACTGCCACCAACGGTGCCCAGATGCTGGAGGAGAGCACCGATGTCATTGTGCATGGTACGGCACCTTTCACTCCCTTGCAGAGCCACAGCAGAGTAATCCCCAGGCTGCTTAGGCAGTGCTTGGGCCAAGGTTCACTAGAGGGGGTCACGCACCTCTATCCCACCCTGCTTTAGTGAGACCCAGCTTTTCTCCAGTCCCTCAACCCTTCTGCACACCAGCACCACACTGAGAGCACAGTCACCCAGCCCTGCCTGGCACCCACTCCCTCCCCTTCTGTTCCAGGGAGGGGGCCCTGCCAGGAACAGGGATGTGGAAGAGGGGTTGGGAGTTGTATAGACAGACAAGATAATAATGGATTTTGGTAATTTTTACTTCATCATTGCAGAACAGTAGTCATTTTCAACTGCACTGCCACAACACCCTGCCTGTCCTTGCTGTTGGGCCCTGTGGAGAGCAGCAGAGCCTGGTGACAGCCTGTCCCTTTGTGCTCTCCTCACCTCCATGCTCACCTTTGTTCTTGCAGAAAAGCCCTTCATCAATGTGGAGTGGAGGAAGGGCCCGGTGATAGAAGCCACTGCAGGAGATGAAGCCGTGAAGCTGCCGGTGAAAGTCGTGGCTTACCCCCCACCAGACTTCCAGTGGTAACTCACCTTTCTTAGACTGAGCCACCTTCTCCCCCCTCCTTCCCTCTGCCAAGTAGGGAAGCTTAGCCTAGCCTCCTTGCTAGGTCCCTCTGTGGCCAAGATTGTCCTGATGTCCCTTTCTCCCACCCATGGGGGTCATTTCTCCCACCTGCCCTGGCTGTCAGCTGCACAGCATGGGACGGGAGGAGATGAGGTCTGGGGGCGAAGCAGCAAAGGTTCTGGCCCACCTTGGCAGCTCTGTGCTGTCTGGAGGGGCCAAGCAGAGCTCCCCCAGGCACTGCCCCTCATCGCTCTGCAACAGGGATCACAGCTGCCCAGAGGAGTAAGAGAGCAGGCCAGGCTGTGCACCTCCACGTGCTGCACTGCCACCACAGCTGGCTGGGAGCTGGGGGCTTTGCACCTCCACACTGCTCCAGGCAGAGCTACAACACCCCCGGCCCCACACACATCCATATGAGACAATGCACAGACCTGTAACTCAGGTCCAGGGAAAGCCCAAGGGTTCCCAGCGCTAGCAAGGGATGCCCTGACTGCACTCTAGTGGGGACCAGAAAACCCCTGCCCAGCTGCCAGTGGGACACTTCCTCCCCATGGCTGCATTTTGTCTCTGCCTCCCCGCAGGTACAAGGACGGGAAGCTAATTCCCAAGCAATCTCAATCTTCAATGCAGATCAAGGATGTGTCGGAGCAGCACGCTGGGACGTACACGCTGGTTCTGCGGAACAGGCTGGCGGGGCTGGAGAAGCGCATCAGCCTCCAGTTAATCGTCAATGGTAAGGGAGGGGGTCAGGGCTGGGGCCAGGGGGAAAGCACTGAGCCCGCAGCCCCAGCCTTTGGGCTGCTCCAAGGCTGAGTCCCCACTGCTGTCCTAAAGCAGTTGATCATCTTCTCCATTGCTGAGGGATGCTCTGGTTACAGCTGCGCTGGTTCCTTGTGGCCTGGGTGATAGAGCACAGTTTTGTTCCTGGCTCCATCACTCTGGGCAGGATACGTCCTTGCTCAGGGGCCATTTCCCAGCTGCAGTTGGAGCTGCTGCTGAGGGCGACCCTGAGTGACGAGGACTTGAGGGCAGGGCAGCTGCAACACACATGGCGCCTGGAGCTGGAGCACTTCCTCTGGGTGCCCCATGGCTCCTGGGGTGTTTTTCCCCAGCAGAAACTGGTCCCTGTCACACAGGAAACACGTGCAAGCATAAAAAGTGCTGGAAGGGCACTGCTGCTTGGAGATTTGTCTCCAGCAGGCTCTGTAGCCCTGTGCTGCGACCTGACAGACAGTGCTTTGAGCCCTGCAGCATCCAGTCACACTCTGCAGAGGAAGGAGAAATGATGTCACTTGAATCTGTCTAAGTATGACCTGCTCTGCCTTGCAGGCCTGAGCTCCCCAGGAGCTGCCCTGAGAGCCACAGGGCTTTAGTGCCCAGTCTCTCCATAAACAGGCCTGGGGCGGGCTGTGCTTGGCCCAGAGATGCAGCGGCTGAGCCCGCGGCTGCTCACAGTGTCACTCTGATCCTCGCAGTTCCTCCACGCATCCATGAGAAGGAAGCCTCTTCCCCGAGCATCTATTCCCGGAGGAGCCCCCAGGCCCTCACCTGCACTGTCTATGGCATCCCGGCGCCAGAGGTGATCCAGTGGCAGTGGAGGCCATGGATGCCCTGTCGGATGTTCTCCCGCCGCAGCCTGTAAGTGCCATTTCTTCCAACACTTGTGTCTTGCCAGGCCACCAGTGTGGCATTATGGGCTCCTTGGGCACCATGGCTGTGTCCCAGACCCTGCCTCAACTTTTGCTCTTTGAGCCACAACATGACAAGAGGAGCACAGCACCGAATGATAGCTCAGAGCACTGCACACCCACTCACCCTGTGGAGAGGCAGAGTGGAGCCCGCTGGAGACACTTGTGCTCTGCATGGGAGTTCTGCCCAGCCTGGCTGGTCCCAGACACCAAGGGCTGCCACAGCTTCCCCTGTGTCCTCAGCCATCTGCATCCGGCAGGGGATGTCCATGGCCTGACCACACCACACAGCACCTGCAATAAATCCGCTGACCACTGTGCTAATGGGGAAACTGAGGCAGATTGCAGGAGAAATTGCCACAGCTTCTTAGAGCGACCCTGAGACAGCAGCTGGGGCTCACCCCATTCTTGCCGTAAAGTCCCTGTGGTTTTTTTTATCCTTTGTCTTCTGCTGGGTAATGATGGAAGCAGAAGCACTCATAGGCAGGGGAGCAGAGCAGCTGCATGTGGAGAGAGTTGTTGAACCCAGGGAAAGTGCCGGATCTCTGCCAGCGGCCGGGATGGTTTGCCAGCAGGGTGTTTGTGCAGGCAGCACCAACAGGTAGGCAGGAAGGGTGCGTGCCTGCTGCATGTGCCCTGGGAAGCTGGGGCAGCACCAGGCAGAGCTGCAGTGGCAATTTTTAGCAGCAGCCTCGCAGGAAGAAGGAAAAGGGATGCTGGGGAGTTGTAGCCAGAGCAGTCAGGTTGGAGGACATCAGGGTGCCTGGAGGAAGCCAGGTCTTGCAGTCCTGTGCAGGCTGTTGCCGAGCCAGGGACACCAAAGAGCTCTCCATCATATGTGAGTGCACTGTGGCCCTGTCAGGAAGCAGAGGGGCCCATGAATTATGAGCACTGTCTCCCAAGGCCATCGTATTTCTGCCTAGCATAGCTCCAGAGGATGCAGGAGGCTTCTTTCTGGCTTCCTGTTGTTTACACAGCTCACCGATACACTCGCCCTGCCGAGCGCTCTGCCCTGCACTGCCAGCATGCACCCTTGCCACTGCGCTTAGGCGCTTGGCTCCCCCCTGCCTCCTTGTCACCAGAAGCCCTCTCCCTCCCCACCTCCCACCCTGGATTTTGGGCAGACCCTCCCATCTCCCTGCCCCACCTGCGTTTCAGAAGCACCCTGCAGGCTGCACCATCCCGGGTCCCTGACAGATAAGGGCTCTTCTCCCCCCTTGCCTGCCTCAGCCCGAAGAGGTACTACCATGCCCCTGTGAGACACCAGCAGCATCTCTACTTGGGGTGTTTCCCTCCTGGTATATGTTGAGTCAGGGGAAGCAGAAGCGCCCTTGGGTGCTACACCCTTTGCTCTCCAGGCCAGCACCCAGCCAGTCTGTGATATCCCTGACTCACAGACCCAGCAGGGGTTTAAGGCCTTGCTGCTGAGTAAAGTGGCATCAAGAACTGCCCCAAGCACGCATGAACAGATTTCACCTCTGCTTTTCTCAACCCCTAGCATGGGAAGGATGAAACCCCTAGGGGTGAAGACACTGCCTGGGACACCAGTATCCAGTCCCTGCCTTGATTTTCACATCCATAGATAATGTTTGCCTCACTCGTGATTGCAGAGCACCCTTAGAAAGCACATTAGAACTGTGTAACCAAGAGACCCAGGAAAGTGTGCAGAGTCAGAGGACAGGGGCATCAATTCTCAGACACAAAACTATTTTTGCTGCCTTCTTCCCAGCTGACGGTCTCTCTATCTCTCTCCTCTTTCTCCTGCTCCTCCCTGGCTGCTGGATCAGCAATAGCAGACACCGGGCGGCAAGGCGGCATCAGCGGGACCGGATGCCTGAATGCAAGGACTGGAAAGATGTGTCACAGCAGGACGCAGTGAACCCCATCGAGAGCATTGACACCTGGGTGGAGTTTGTGGAGGGGCGGAACAAGGTGAGGCCATAGCCCCAAGCCCATCCTGGAGTTGGGGAGATGGAGACAGGCACCCTCAGAGCAGTGCTTTGTGATCAGCCAGCACAAGTGGCCTGGAAACGAGCCTGGCAGAGACAGATTTGGGGAGGGCTTCACACCTCTGCTTCTAAGGTAAACCATCAGCGGTTGTTCCCAGTGCTGGAGCTCTGCAGTACCAGGCAGCCCCAGGGCGAGGGAGAGCTGTCATCTTTGAGAAATTACCCTGCATCCAGAGAGGCTCTTGCTGAGGCTGACTGCGCAGGAGCGTTTACACGAATTGCGGCTGAACACAGGGCACCAGCTAGGGAGGGCATGGGGGACATGTGCTGGGGGGGCTCCCGTGGCCGTTACTGAGCACTCTTGCATGAGCTGTTCTGGGAGAGCGAAACCCCACAGAGCAGCCTGGGCAGCTGGGAAAGGACAGCAGGAGTCAGACTGGCCAGGAAATCTCTGATCTCAGGAGCATGCATGTGTGTAGCGGCGCTTTTCATCCAGCTGTCCCCATCGCGGTGGTGCGAGGGTGGTATGGAGATGCTGGCGTCCATCCGCTGTATGTTTATGAGTGAGAGCATGTGTGCCCCATAGAACCCACTTCTCCATCACAGCATTTCCTCTCTGGAAGAAACATCTCTCCCTCATTGCAGTGTGTGACCTGCAAACAGCAAGGCACTGCTTGCTGCCTGTTTCTTTCTGTCTCTCTGGTAGCCACGAGTGTCAGGTCTGTGCCATGACGGGGTTCCTGTTCCTGCTGGTGTCGGGCACCAGCCGCTCGCAGAGGGATGCAGAACAAACAAACGGGCCCCCATTTCCGAAAGTCACTTCCTGTTTTCCTACACACCTCCAAAGGCACTTCCCGTCCCCTGGCCTGGCTGGGAGTTCGTCACTCTTCCAAAAGGGTGGCAGGGGCAGATGCTGCTCCTCCCAGAGCAGCCAAAGGGAGAGGCAGGGATCAGTGTCCCCCAGGGAGGTGAAGCAGGGGTGGTGGGAGCTCCTGGGTGAGGAGCCTTTGTGACCCCCCAGATGTGACTCTCGTCTTGGTCCATTTTGATCTTTCCTTTTTTTCCTCATTACTTGTCCCTCTTCTCCTCCTCCTGTTCCTCAGCCGTGTCCTTCTCATTCCATCTATTTGGTCGGAACTGTCCTGGAGGTCCAGCTTGGGTTGTGCAGCCCAGGGATGTGCACGAGCTCTGGGAGACGAGAGCTCTTCTGCTTGCAGTGGGATGCTATGTCCTCACACCTATGTTCTCTCCCTCTGCTTCTCCTTTCTGCCTGTCTTCTCTTGCCCTCCTCCTCTGTTTTTTATGCTCTCCGGAAAGGCCAGAGTGAGCCCCAGGGTGTGCAGTGCACAGCCACACACTACAGCCAGCAGGGTGATGTCAAATCCAGAAACCCCAACTCAGACGTAACAGTGCAGAGTAGAAGGAAAATCCCCAAGAAACAGGAAAGGCAGCACACAAAAGTGCCGGCAATGCTTCAGCTGTATTGAATAATCCCAAGAAACGGAAAAGGCAATGTACAAAAGTACTAGTAATAAGGTCACTTCAGCTGTATTGAACATGCACTGAATGAATGACTGTTCCTTCTGATTAACACCAGCTAATACATTGCCACTTACAACGGAAATGCTTCCCAAAGTCTATGGGATGAATAGTAAAGGCAAGGTAGTTTCCCTGTAGGAACACAATTTTTTTTTTTTGCATTTTAAACATTGCCTCATTAGAAGGATTCTTGTATGTGATGCACTTGTCATTGAAACTGGGAGGGAGGACGAACTTGTGCTTCAAACTGCTGATCTCCTCTAAGGGGAGTGCTTGTAACACATTTGGCAGCTCACACGTGTGCAGTGTGAGCCAGGAGGAGGAGAGCAGCCTTACTCCCCAGCTGCCTTTCCTGGCTTATTCGGAGGCAGCATCTCCTGGGTCCGTGCTCCCAGGACAGCAGCCTGGCAGTTTGCCCAGGCTTAATCATTGCTGGAAGAAGGGAGGAGGAAGCTTTTAGGACCATGTCTATGTACACTCGGAATTTAAAGGGAGAAGATGACAGCTCTTCCTGAAGTGGTAAGAGCTGGGGTGATTTCATGGGTTTGATTTCCCCTTATGGATAAAAGGAGCGCTTGCAGGTCTGTAAGTACCTGTAAACTCCACTGAACTCTGTGGGACATTGAGCAGTCACTCAACAGCAAAGGGCTCAAGGAATCAAAGCCTTGGTGTCCTTTCCCTTTCTCCCTACTTTTATAAATTTTGGTGGGAGCTTAGCCATCCCCTCAGCCCTGTGTTATGTTCGTGACCATGGTGACCTGAGGGGCTTAGCAAGAATTTTCCTCCCGTGGAGAGGCATCTATACTGGCTGGGCTTCGTTAAAAGGAGCAGAGATCAGGGATAAAAACATATTGCTGTTGCTAGAACCAGCAGATGAGGCTTGAAATGCACAAAGGGCTAATGAAAAGGGGTTATTTTTGCATTACGCTTTCCCAGGTACAGCTGCCACCTAGGGCCAGGCTTGCTGTGTGCCTTGCTGTCTGTCAGAGAGCAGTACAGATCCTACTTCTCTCCCCTCTTGCTCTTCCTAACTCCTTTTTATGCTCTCTTCCCCCATCAGACAGTCAGCAAACTGGCCATCCAGGAGGCCAATGTCTCAGTTATGTACAAGTGTATCGCCTCAAATAAAGTGGGTCGAGACGAGCGCCTGATCTACTTCTACGTGACCAGTGAGTACTGCAGATATCCCCTCCACCTGCATCAGCCGAGCTCTCTGATAGATACAGGCAGGTCCCTAGACCTGCCGGGACACAGATAGCACCTTAAACAGTGACCAAGAAGCCAGCAGGAAAGCAGGGCTACCCCAGAGCTCTGCTGAATGGCAAAAGCCTGTAGCCCTGGCAGCAGCTAGCGCAGGCAGTGTTTGGCGGCAGACCTGGGGATGAGCTGGCCCTGTCTGTGCCGAGGTTCTGGAGCAGCCCTGGCAGGTCCTGGGCTGGGGATGTCCTGCTGGCTCAGGGCCAGGCAGCTCAGGGACTGGGGATGTGCCTGGTCCAAGAGCATCCTCTAGTGGCACTGCCCGACCAGCTCTCAGGCAGGGTCCCGATGGCCTGAGCCCCTCGGAAAAGGCTTTGGCAGTGGGAGGAAGCTGAGAGCCCACCACTGTGGGAGTCGTGCCCCATATGGGGCTGCAGAAGCTCCCTGCCAGCAGTACCCTGTGCTGGCAGGAGTCTGTCCCTGTCCGCTGGGGACAGGGAGCCTGACAAGGGCACAACAGAGGCTTATTTTCGTGCCTCTCTGGACAGACCCCAGGAGGCCGGGCTCATGGCCCTCATACGTAGCACTTGTGCTGTCAGAGCCAACAGCTTCTGTGGAGGCAGATGAACATCTGCAGTCCCTGCTCCAGTAATGCTCTGCGTGTGCAGTGGTCGAGCCTGGCAGTCGAACTGCCTGCACGTGTAAAAGCAGGCACATGTGCAATCCAGAATGCTACAGCTGAGCTGAGAGCAGTAACAGCCTAATTCAGACCCCCCAGGCTCGTTTCATTTGTGACCCCATCTTAATTTGACCCTGGGACTTCAGCATAGCCCTTAGCACTCACTGGGAGCAACTTAAGCTGTCAGACCCTAGAAGTCTGCATGTCACAGTTCTGCTCTAGATTGGTTTCCTTTACCCTGGCTGAGGACAGGGGAGTCTCAGAGAGCTGAGCCCAAGGAGACAATATCATTGTGTCTGGCAGCTCAGACATGGAAATTCATTTACATGTTCATTTCCTTCCTGAAAGCCATTCCAGATGGGTTTGAGATTGAGTCCCAGCCCTCGGACAGGACCTACAGCTGAGCTGCAATGCAGACAACTACACCTACGAGAACCTCCAGTGGTATCGGCTGAACCTCTCCAAGCTCCATGATGAGGAAGGCAACCCCCTCGTGCTGGACTGCAAGAACATCCACCACTATGCCACCAAGATGCAGGGGGAGCTGCGCTTCCAGCCCGACTCCAACGATGCGACCTTGCTGCTCACCATCCCCAACATCTCCCTGGGCGAGGAGGGAGACTACGTGTGTGAGGTGCAGAACCGGAAGACCCGGGAGAAGCACTGCCACAAGAAATACATCTCTGTGCAGGGTGAGGGTCCACAGGGCAGGCGGGAGTGACAGTGGAGAGCTGGTGCTCTTGCTGCCATCAGCTTCCCAGTCCGTCCCCAGGGGATGCCACGCAAGCAAGCTAAACCCAGGCAGGGCACCTGGGTTCTCAAGACACCCTTCAGCAGGGGTCAGAGACCCAAAGCTCCCCAGGAACACAGATATTCTTTTGATCAATCAGTTTCCCGTTTTCCCCTCCTCCTCTTTGTGCTGCTCCTCCAGCCCTGGAGATCCCCCGCCTCAAGCAGAACCTGACAGACATTTGGGTGAACGTCAGTGACTCCATAGAGATGCGCTGTAAGGTGGACGGCAACCACGTTCCTGAAATCAGCTGGTACAAAGATGAGAAACTGGTGGAAGAAGTGTCAGGTACAGTGGGCTGGGGGTGAATCAAAGGCAGGGCATCATGTCCAGCATCTGGAGAGCTGAGCGCTGCTGGGTTCTGGGAGTTGTTGTGCCCAGGCAAAAGTGCCCGTTCTCTGAATTGGCTGAACTCCCGTTTTAATCATGTTCTATCCCAGTTTGATGCAGTTTCACCAGCCAAGTCTATGCCCTAAGGCCTGGCTCAGCACTGTCTGTGCATGTGCACGTTCAGCTGGAGAGCAGAGAGAGAGAAATAATTCATCTTCTTACTCCCAACTCCCAGTGAGTTGACCTGGCATCTCTGCTCCTTCAGGGACCAACCCAGATCCCACAGAAGGAACATGGGAAGGATCGAGGCACATTACAGAGGGAACAGAACAGGTCCTGGATCTGAAGCAGAGATACAGCAGACCCATCCACAACAGCTGGGCTGCCTGGGCACTGAACCTATCCAGCACTGTCTGCAGGGGTTTCGTCCCCACCATCTACTGCCTGGGGAAGGCTCCTCCAGGGTATTTCTGGGGCTATCAGGGCACAGAAGAGAGCCTCTACCAGCTGGCGCAATTTCAATCTGCCATTTAAAATGAACCCACCAAAAAATAGGAGCCTTATTCTGAGCCAGAATGAGTCCAGTATACTAATCCCCTCTTCCTGTGAGTGACCATCCCAACTCTGTGCCTTACAGGAATTGACCTGGCAGACTTCAACCAGAGGCTGAGCATCCAGAGGGTGAGGGAGGAGGATGCTGGGCTCTACCTGTGCAGCGTCTGCAATGCTAAGGGCTGTGTGAACTCCTCGGCCAGTGTCTCCGTAGAAGGTACCAGCAGCCACGACACCCCTGGGGGTGAAGTAGGGGAGTGGGAGTGTGGCCAAGGTCCCATGCCTCTCCTCTGTGACACCGCGGTGGGACACCATGAAAGCCCCTAGCCCTTGCTGGTGGCATGGTGCTCTCACGGGAGGATCTGTAGTCCAGAGCATGTTTGGCTCAGGGATACACACCTTCCCAGCCTCCCCGCATCCTGAAGCAGGCCACAAGGGATGGCTGAGCTGGGAATCTCTCAAGCTATGATTTTCCTTCCATCCCACAGGCTCTGATGACAGGACCAATGTGGAGATTGTCATCCTGATTGGGACTGGGGTCATCGCTGTTTTCTTCTGGATCCTCCTTATCCTCATCTTCTGTAACATCAAAAGGGTGCGTGCCTGTCTGTCCTGGGGTAGGGGAGATGGCTCTGTGGGGCTTGGGGCAACGCCATTGCTGTGGTCTGGGGCTGTATGACAGCATCCACTAAAAGGAGGTTATTGAGTGATGTTTCAAGCTCTCTCACTGCCAAGGGCAGGGTACTTAAGGGCTGTGGTTAAGGAGGTGACAGGGGATGGCCTTTGCCAGGGGGAAGCAGGGCAAAGCAGGCAAAGGAACCAAATCACCTCTGGGAGTCAGCACCCAGTGCAGGGAAGGCATCTCACCCTCTGTGTTCGCTGATTTCTGCAGCCTGCCCACGCAGACATCAAGACGGGCTACCTCTCCATCATCATGGACCCTGGCGAGGTACCCTTGGAGGAGCAGTGCGAGTACCTGCCCTATGATTCCAGCAAGTGGGAGTTCCCACGAGACCGCCTGCGCCTAGGTGAGCCCGGCCCCATCCCTGCTGCCCTGTGCTGCAGCCGGGACTTCACACCAGCCCTTCAAACTCACCCTCCAGGTTTCTTACACACCTCTTTTTTTAATGCCTTCTCTCTGCCTCAGGCTTCCCATCTTCTTCCCCAGACTGTCCCTAAAGCCCAGCTGTGCCTGGGAAATCTCTTTGGGTCTGACTATGGGAGAGATCTGAGACAACTGTAAGCCCAGACTCTCCCAGTATAACCTCACAGGCATCACTGAGACCGGGATAGCTCTGGCCATGCTTTAAAATCCATCCCCATATTCTCCAACTGGCAATCTGGACAGAACAACCCAATCCACAGCAGATACCCTGAGTTCAGGACAAGGACTGCATCTGTTATCTTCCTCATGATGAGACACCTGCTTGCAGTCTCTTCCCTGTCTGTGAGAGTTAAAAGGGCTGCAGACTACCTTTGAGGCACAGAGCAGTGACGTTAGCCCTGGCTGCTCTGCCTCAAGGTGCCTTGTTTACCTTTCCCACACACACTGCTTGAGGGCAACAAACAGCCCTTCACTTCCGCAGGGCCATTTCCTTCCTCTGCTTTGTCCATGCCAGCTCTGTCTCAGTTCCTCCCATCATCCTTTCTTTTACTCTCACCAACAGAGCAAGCAGCCACCTGGGAAGGGCACATGTTCCACTCCTTCCTTTTCCTTTGTGGCAGTTTTTCTTTCTTTTTCCCATGGTTTCCTGTTGGGATTTTTGTTTTTTCATTTCATTCTGCCTGCATTGCACCTGCCTTTCTTCACACTGCCTCTCTCCTTGCACATAGGTAAAGTCCTGGGTCACGGTGCCTTTGGGAAGGTGGTGGAAGCATCAGCATTTGGGATCAATAAAAGTAACAGCTGTGAGACAGTAGCAGTCAAAATGCTGAAAGGTATGTGGACAGCAAAGCAGAATACACAGTCTGTGTGGACAGCAAAGAATGAGGCATGTGGCAGGGAACCTGTAAATGCCTGTCTTTGGCATAAGGCATTTGTTAAGGCCCTGGAAAAAGTTTTATCTCCCACAAGCACTCCTGGGTGCTTCTGCTTGAGCCAGCCCTGAACTAGAGGAGAGGAGCAGGAGCCAGCCTTTTAATTTATGGCTTTTCGGCTTCAACACAGTTGATTCTCTTGGCCTCCCCTCGTGGATCCTTTAGCCCCATTCAGCTGCACTGGGAGGCAAGTGGCAGAGCAGACCGCAGGAACCTGGGAACTTGGCTTTCAAGGAAATTTATCTGTTTGCAAAGGCAAAGAATGAAATCTGTCTCAAAGGACAAACAAGAATCTAGAGCCCCTCTTTGGCAGGTCACTAAATGAAGTGTTGCTCTGAATTGCTTTCTTCCGAACGTATTTCATGTTTATGGGCTAGGTTCAGAGCTGAGTAAGGAAGCAGGTTGCAGCCCCCCAGCTCTGAAGGCTAAATTGGCTTTGCACGCAAAGCCTGGTCAATCCAGAGTGAGATTTTATGCTTTTATAGCTACGCTTTCAAACAGGCACACAGAATATTATTCTGTAATTTGGCACCCAATAAAATACTGAGGCAGTCCCTGGGCAGCAGTGTCCTGTATGTGGAAACCAAGTCATAGCTCATCTCAGCAGCACTCACCCCTGCAAGTGTGCAGATGATCTGTGCAGCAATTGCAGAGGGAAGCCTGGCCATGCAAGGTTGCTTTACAGTCCTTTGATGCATGGCTGTCATCTGGCCCATCAGCTCCTGATGCTTTTCTCTCTCTCAGACTAAATTTGCAAACTCCCAAGTAAGGCAAACTGCACGTGAAGAAGTATGAAAGAGACACACAAAACCAGAGAACAAACCCTGAGGGTAAAACAGAGGATCAAGAGTTGGTGCGAATTAGGCACTCAAAGAGAAAATGCAGTACAGAGAGCTGGCAGGGGCACAACGCTGTGTTTGCTATTGGAGAGGAATCATAAAAAGATATTCTGGGTTTGAGTTGAGACAGCTCCTATCTTCAGCCATGATCAAAAGACTCACATGCCTTTTGTTTCTAATTTTCCTTCAAATTGTTTCATGGCTCGTTACTTCTCTTTGGAGGCTGAAAGGGCACAGATTCAAATGCGTACATAAGCCTCAAGTGATCTTTTTCCCTGCACAACTATCACAAGGAAAAATCTGTTGGGGACAGGTTGTGTTGTCCTTTGCTCTGGGTCCCTGTGCGGGCAGAGAGCAGCTGACACATTACAGGGATCCTGGGAGCTCCAGACAAGGCTCTGACATTACGTATGGAAACATGAAATAACAAAACGTACCAAGGCTTTGGGGTCACAGCCTCCACAATTAACACTCTGCTAAGAGAAGGGCGGCGGGGGGGGAGTGAAGAGCTGTGAGGACGTGTCATGACATGATCTGTGTGTTTCCAGAGGGAGCTACCGCAAGCGAGCACAAGGCACTGATGTCAGAGCTGAAGATCCTCATTCACATCGGGAATCACCTCAACGTGGTGAATTTGCTGGGTGCCTGTACCAAACCCAATGGTAAATATCCCAGGGAACCAGGCTGTGCCTGCTCCTGGGCGTCAGTGTTTGTCCCCTGTGTCCTTTCTGCTGGCCACGTGTGTGACCACAGGAACACGTGGGAATGTCACCAGTGTGTGTGTGTGCACTTAGGGCAGGTGCCACAGCTCAGCGGGGCTGTACATAACATGAGTTGGGGCAAATTCTGACTATCTCAAGCCCTTACCTCTCTCCCTGACCTTTGGTGTCTTCTGGCCAGGTCCACTCATGGTTATTGTTGAGTTCTGCAAGTATGGAAACCTCTCCAACTACCTGCGGACCAAGCGGGAAGGATTCAGTCCTTACAGGGTAGGTAACTTCCTTTGCCCTTAGGGACCTGTCCCTAGGGAAGGAAGACATGTAGCCTGAAATGTGATCTGACAATGGGACAAAGACACCCTCTGTCTAGCACCAGATCGAGTTTACACAGCGATCTTTGTTCATGTGCACTTCAGGGAAGTAATTTCTTTCTGCAATGGAAGATAGGTGCTTTCAGGCCAGAATTACAGTCTAACAACAGAAAAAGACTGTCCAGCTCGTGGGTGCAGGGGTTACAGTGTGTGTTGCCTGCTGAGGATTTTGGTTTGGTCTCCTTGCCAGGAGAAGCCTCCCAGGCTGCGTATTCAGGTCCAGTCCATCGTGGAGGCAGTGAGAGCAGACAGGAGAAGTCGTTCTGGGACTAGCGACAGCGCTATCTTTAACCGCTTTCTGATGCACAAGAGCCAGACAGCACAACCGATCCAGGAAGGTAATATTCCAGCCTTGTCAGCAGCTCCTCCTGTGGCCCACCAAAAAAATGCCAGACTTGGGGAATGGGTAGGGCATGACAGTGGGGAGCTGGGACCCAGCCTTGGAGCTGATCACTGTTGCATGGCAATTCCCTGAACAGGGCTGTCACAGACATCTGTTGTCTCTTGTAAGAGACTCTCCAAACCCAGAGGGGAAGATTAAATCCCTTTGGCTTTTTTGAGCCTAAAGAAAGGAGAATTGAGGGGGATCTCAGTGGGTCCTCCCTAGGACAGGAATGATGACCTTCAAAGTGCCTTCCAGCCTTGTTTCCACAACTCTAACTGACGTGTGCTGGAGGCTGGACTCATTCTCCTCACACTTGAGCAGGTTTCTGCCATGTGCTTTCTGCCACCTAAGCAGAAAATCCTAGAGGGGAGCTGGTTACTCCAGTCAGCACTGGAGTAGCTATATCTCACCAAGAGGCTGGTTGTATCCCACAGTCCTGGAGAGGGCCAAGGAGGGCAGGAGACTGCTCACTGTCTGATCATTTTCTTGTACTCCTGGACAGTGGATGACTTGTGGCAAAGTCCCTTGACAATGGAAGACCTGATCTGCTACAGCTTCCAGGTAGCGCGTGGCATGGAGTTCCTGGCATCCCGAAAGGTGGGTTCACCCTTTCCTTCGCTCCTCTCTTCTTTTGTGCATGCCTGACCTGAGGAGGCCTGCATACAACCTCCTTACAGGCGACACACAGGTTCGGTGATCTGTCTCACACTTCTCAGGAAGTCTGAGGTAGCCCTGTGTACACAGAGATGGGAAATTAGTCCTCTGGCATTTCATGCTCTCTTTAACCATCTCCTTTTGAAATTTTTATATTTATATTTATATTTAGCTCCTTCACACTTCTCCCATTCCCTTACCACAGCTCAGGTTCACGAGGGAAGGGGGATGTTCTGCACTTTCTGATGGTGATTCCTGTCCTTCTGACTTTGCTTCTTCCTCTTCGTGTGCCCTCAGTGCATCCACAGAGACCTGGCGGCTCGCAATATCCTGCTGTCAGAGAACAACGTGGTAAAGATCTGTGATTTCGGCCTGGCCCGGGACATCTACAAGGACCCCGACTATGTCAGGAAAGGCAGCGTGAGTGCCATATTCTCAAACCCTATACAGATTAGGCCCCCTTGAGGTGTTCATAAACTACTCTGGGCATGAAATAAACTGAGGAAAATATGAAAAAGGAGTGGAACCACTTGTGTGGCTGGGACCAGGGACCATTGGCCCAATGATGTATGTGCTGTCCACCTCCTCCACCTCCTTCATCCCTCCCTCTGGCCTAACCAAACCTCCGTTCCTCCATGGAGAGAGGAGCAGGGCTATTGGCTCTGGTTTACTTTCATCCCTTTCATCCCATTGCTATAAGAAAGGCTGTCCTGGGACGTGTCCCTGACTGAACACTCATGCCTTGCCTCCTTCCTGCAGGCCCGTCTCCCACTGAAGTGGATGGCTCCAGAGAGCATCTTCGACAAGGTCTACACTACCCAGAGTGACGTCTGGTCCTTTGGGGTCCTCCTCTGGGAAATCTTCTCGCTAGGTGAGTGCTAATGAGGGTCACATGCTGCTGAGGAAGGCAGGACCTCTCTTCCCACGTAGCAGCTTGGTGGGTGAGTCTGTGCAGGAGGCCCTGATGCCCTGCAGCATGGCCAAGGAGTGATGGGAAGAGACATCAGTGTTGGCAAAAGAAACACAGAGGCCATATCCATCCCTGAACAGGGTGATGGGAGACAGGCATGCAGAGGCAGCCTCCTGCTCCCTGAGGCAGAGGAGCCTGTCTTGGGCAGCACCAAGGACTTGGGCTGTGTATGAGAAGTGACCATATCTCCCAGTGTTCTAGGAGGAAGGACAGTCTCAGAGGAAGGACAAGTTTCTGATGGCACATTTCATGTTCCCACCCCTCTTTTGACCCTCCTTTAGGGGCCTCTCCATACCCTGGAGTCCAGATCAACGAGGAGTTCTGCCAGAGGCTCAAAGATGGTACCAGGATGAGAGCCCCAGAGTACGCCACAGCAGAAATGTGAGTGAGAAACCCTACAGATCCCAGCACAGGTCAGAGCAGAGCCTTCTGTGGGATGGTAGAAACCTCCCAGAACCCAGCATAGAGCTGGATAGGCGCCTGTGTGGGATGCAAAGACCTTTCAACCAGAGTGGGGAATGAGCCAACACATCCTTCACCCCAGGCAAGCCAGATAGCTCGAATCAGAGCTATCTAGGTACCTTTGCATGCTCACACTCAGATGGGTCTGTAAGCGGGCAATGTGCTTTCCTGCTCTGAGTGGTGTCAGAGGTGTCTAAATTAGCTCCTTGTGCACTGTTATAGTCAACATACAATGAACCAGTCCTCTTCCAGTAGGTCCACAGGGCCAATGTGCCAGGAGGGTGCCAAGCTTAGTGCAGGTACATCCTGTCCCAGTGGGCACCATGCGGGTGGGAGCTGAAAAGTTGGGTTTTTGTGGCATAAAACCAGCATCTGTTCTTGGCAGTTACCGTATAATGCTGAGCTGCTGGCACGGTGATCCCAAGGAGAGACCAACGTTCTCCGACCTGGTGGAGATACTGGGGAACCTTCTTCAGGAGAACGTCCAGCAGGTGAAAACCTCTCTGTGTCCCTGCTCAGCTCCATACAGCTCTTTCTTCTCCCACCGCTACCTCCCTCATTGTGCCCTCCTCTGACTCCTTGGCCAGTGCAATACCTTTGCTTAGGCCAAGGGCTAACACAGGGTTTCCTGAATCAAAAACGTCTGTTTCCCAGAGGTACTGGAGAGCTCATTTCTGTGGTAGCCCTCTCACTGCATCCTAATATAGGTCTACTCCTTGCAGGGTGGGTACCCTCTCAGTCATCATTCCAGCATTTCCAACCTAATCCCTAGATGCTCATTTGAAATTTTTCACGTGAGTCAAGGTCCTGGCATGCCTGCCTCCCACACGCCAGCCTAATGAAAATCAGGACTTCACCAGGGTTTCTGAAACTCTATCCTCAGATCTAAATGTCAGGGCCATGTGAACCAAACAACTGTTCCATTACAGCAGTGAGATACACAAACTTCTCTGAAACCATTACTAATGCTGCCATGCAGTAATTCACTAGGACTTTTAACTGCAATGAGTGTGCAGCTCTGATTTTAACATTTTCATAAGATGATAGCTAAATGCTTAAATATGAGTAATATCTCATCCTGATGTGCCTGATTTTAACTTTTCAGCACTGGATCCCAGCACAGGCATTACTAAGCCACAATGATGTGCCCCTGGAGCACAGTGCTCTGTCCACGTAGGCTAGAGAACTGTAGGTGCTGTAGGACTGGGTTGTTTTCCTGCTCACACACGCCTTGATGCACCTGCAACACTCACAGCTACTTAACGCAGAGGGTGCAGAAATCTCCAGACACGTATTTTGTCCCAGAGAAACAAAAGCCAAACCAGAGATTTTCCTCCCCAGCTCTGAGAGCATCTCCTTGTAGAGCTCTTTCTTGTGGGAAAGCCCTCCCCTTCTTACAAGGCCACTCACTGTTCTTCCTACCAGGAAGGGAAGGATTACATCCCGCTGAACGACTCTCACAGCTCAGAAGATGACGGTTTCTCCCAGGTGCCTTCCTCTGCCCAGCAAAACTCAGATGAAGAGGACTTTGACATGAGGATACGCTGCCACAGCCTAGCAGCAAGGTGAATCCCCCCTGAAAAGGGCAGAGAGAGCCCAGCAGGCAGCCAGCAGCCTGGGCTGTAATGGAACCTGAGGGATATGGAGAGAACCCAATAGCAAGATGTTGGAAAAATCCCGGGTGATCAGGTGTGATCCAAGCATTTAGGCAACAACATCTTGCTTATGAAAGCAAAATCACTTTCCTTTGCTGATGAGAAAGAGCCCTTGGTGTATAAGCCTATGACATGCCTTCTCCTGCCTCCAGCCACACTGCCAGAGCATCATGTCCCACTAAAGGCATCATGGCCCATTGGGTAGATGAGGAAAGGTGTCAGCTGGGTCTCTGCCCTTCTGTTAATGCAGGAGCTTTATCCTATCTGTTCCTAACTAACCCAGACAATTGGGCCTAGGCTTCTCGTCTCCCAGGAGCTGTGACAGTGTGATGTCTAGGATCTATATGACATTATTTTGCTTATCCAAACTGAAGAAGTAATCGGGGCCGGATTTGATCCAAAAATCTGGGAGCTCCCCACTGCAGAAGTAATATGGGATTAAGAGGCCTAAGGTGACCCCGTTCCCCTCCCCAAATCCACCATTTCGGTCATCTGCCTCCCTGCATGCTTTGGTTGCATGGAGAGGAAGTTGGGTTCAAGTCCTCTTTATTCAGGACATTGACTCTGTTGGTTTTACTGAATACAGTATGCTTCTGTCAGCAGATACTACAACTGCGTCTCGTTCCCTGGTTGTTTGACGGGAGGAAATCAGATCAGGTGTCCATCCAGGATAAAGACATTTGAAGAGTTTCCCATGACACATACAATGTACAAGACACACCCGGTGAGTAGCATCTGGATGGAGTTGAGCAGGGGGCAAAGAAATGTTCAGCTGTTTCCTGACACCTTTGCTGTTCAGATCATGGAAGGAAGATCACTCCTATCTAATGTCAGTCTGTCTGTGTCATTCCTGTTCAGTCCGTCCAGTCCGATTCACATTCCTTTCTCCACCTGGCACATAGGGGTTTCTCTACAGCACAGCTCATACTGCCTGAAAATGAAATAGGGAGGTTAGATCTGCAAGCAAGGAGTATAAAGGACCTCAGCAATGAGCCTGCTCTTCACCCTTCTCAAATCTGTGAATATGGCCTGGCTAACCACAGTGAAATCCAGCCAGCACTGGATAAATCCTGAGTGTTTTTCTGCAGCTCCCCTATCCTGACCCACACAGCAGTGTGCAGTAGGAGCCCTCCTGGCCTCTCCGAACTGGGCTGGTACTTATATCTCCTGTAGTGGCAAAACTTAAGTCATACCCTTAGTCTCAGCGGGAAATCTCATTTAGCACAGATTTGATGGTAATACATCTTCCAGGCAGGGAGGACTCTTTTTTTTTTTCCCCAAAAAAGTGGCACTGAACTGCACAAGCAAATCCTACCTTTGTACATGCTACTTTTAAGAAGGCAGCTAAGCAAATCAGTTCCAGCAAGACCATGGAGCGTGCTAGTAAAGTGCCCCTACTCCTTTCTCCCACCACAGATACACATGATCTCATCTCCTGAATGATTCCTTTTCCCTTCCCACTCTGATCAGTCGACAGGGATGTTACTGATAACTCCTGTTGCTTCCTTCCAGGACAATCAGACAGACAGTGGGATGGTTCTGGCATCTGAGGAATTTGAGAGGATAGAAAACCGACACAGAAAAGAAGGTGGATTCAGGTACTCCTTAAGCCTAGCCACTCAGACCTCCCTGCTGCCAAATGCAGTGAGACCAGGAGGCAGCTTTTTGTGTCTCCCTGTAGGGTATACCTCTTGGGGCTCTCAGCAGCAGCAGGGCTGTGGGCCCTGAGCCAGATAAATCCATGCACACATTAACAAGAGGCAAAACGCATGAAGAACAGTCCTGCCTGCTGCTTCTTAGGGTTTAAAAATATGAACCATGCCCATTCAATGAGAACGTGTCTATTAAGATAATGAGGCACAGTACAGTGACAGTGTTAATAAGACTCTTAATGCTTTATTGACATTTTCTGGTGAAATGTGTCAGGGCTTGTTCAAGCAGTGGCAGGTGGGATGGATGGAAACTATGTGGCTGCCGCCTCCTTCTGCCAGCCCTGACCCATGTGTACAGGGCCCTGAAGTGGCATGGAAGGGATGGGACAGGCCTTAGAGCTTCCCACACGCCGGTACTGAGACTAGCAGGCCAGGCTGGCACTCTTGGGGCTGAGAATGTTATGGATGGCTATGTCCTTGCCCCAGGCTTGAAAACTCGGCAAGAACCTGTCCAGCTCTTCTCTGTTGGTGCCAGAGCAGGCTGGGACCTTGTCTCCTTGACTCTGTTAAGCGAGCCACGTCAGCTCATGTGTAGACAAGGCCAGTCCCAAGCCTCTTCCTCGCCTCCTCTGCCTCCCAACATCAGATTGCACTGGTCATTGTCTTTTCCCTTAGCCATAGCCCTGTGGCCTCTCTGCTGTTGTATCAGACTGTCTTCTGCTTCTTGTCCTTGTCCTCTTTTTCCTAAGGCATGTTCCTGTTGTCTCCTACACCATGCGCTACCTGCCCATCTCCTGGAAAACACTGCCCTTAAACTTCTCCATCAGTGTGTCCCTGCTCTCGCTATTGTGGCTTCTTGCCAGTCACCTGGTATTGGCAGGCGCTGAGATGGGGTTGCTGATTTCCAATTTCCTCCCACATCTTCATCATCTTCTTTCATTTCCTTTCCCCCATCCTGGCTGTTGGTTTGTATCAGTTTCTGTTACTCCTGCCAGGTCTAGGAGCAATTGAGGCAACATCTCTTGTCTCTCCCTGCTCATTGGGGTCTGAACTCTTCCCTGGGCTTCCCAAAGGTATGTAGAAGAGCTGAAATAACTCTGGGGCTTAGTTATGTGCAGATTTTTCACAAAACATGCAGGCTGCACTTAGGTTTAGAGCAAGGCCTGGTGTTGTGCTTTGAAATGGAGGTGTAGGTCTATTCCCAACCCTGACTCTGCCCTGTGCATTAGCAGATGATGTTTCCTGAAGCTGGGATCTCTGTAAGCAGGACAGAGGCTTTCCAGGAGTGCTCTGATTGATCTTCTTTGTTTCTCTCCCTTACAGCAGTAAAGTGCCCAGCCAAACTGCAGAGCTGCCAGGGGAACAGTCGGACCTGCGGGGCAGATGTCGGCCGTCATACGGGTCCCAGGTCGGAGGCCAGACTTTTTACAACAGTGAATACGGGGAGCTGTCAGAACACTCTGAGGACGGCAGCTGCACCCCGCCTGGAGAGGGGGCCAGTCCCCCCACTCTCCATGCTTCTTTCTTCTCCGAGCAGTACTAATGGCATCAGCCCTGGAGGTGCCTGCCAAGGCATCCCCTCACCCTCCAGGCATGTCATCAGGGTCACTCAGAGCTTCTCCTTCAACCTACGCCCAACCCCATCAGGGAACCTACCCCGAACGGATGGGGAACACCGATGTCCTTGGAATAGCAGCACAATGGCCCAATGCAGCACCTCCACCTGCAGCTTCCCCATGCTGGGACTGGAGAGAATGCCTTGCTGATTCCTCGCATTTATTTTCTTCCTGTGGCTCAGACAGATGCATTCTGCCAACGACTGGGTGCCTGCATTCAGCACTACAGCACCTTCTGCCTAGCATCCAGCCTCCGCTCAGATCAGCTTCCTATTCAGAAAGCCCTTTTCAGGTCAGATATAAATAGATCTGTCTCAGTCTCAAGTTTCTTCCTGGTGTGCAGCCTGAATGTTTTTCCTTGGATTGCTTCCTCCTCCTCTCCTCATGATGTCAGCTGCTGAGCTGTGGAGCAGAATCAAAGGGAAGAAATCCCTCGTGGTATTAGCAGCAAGAGCAGGACATTTTAAAGAGGTGTACGGAGGCATCCCAAGGGATCTTTGTAAATGTTCATGCACGCTGTTCATTCTGGGTAGGTGCCAGCCTCTCCATCTCTTCTGCAAGCAACACCCACACCCCTCTCATCTCTGCTGGGGGGAAACCTGTCAGTCTGCCTTATCACCAGGATTATTTTAGCCATCTCAACACACCTAGTGCTGAGTAGCTCATCAGCACTGATGGCTAGAGTCCTCCCAGTGAGATAAATAGCAACTCTTTTTGCAGGCCCTGTGCAAAACAGGGTTTTATATGATCTGTGCTGGGAGGAGGTTACTCACAGGTCTGCTGCTTTCGCCTTCCCCTTCTCCCAGAGCAGTGCTGAGATCATCTGTTGCTCAAGTGAGAAATTAAAGCAAAGCTGTGTTAATTTCAGCTGGCTTCTAAACATAGAGTGAAAATGAGTTGTTTGCTGGTAGGAAAAGGATCAAAGTGGTAGGGAGTGAAATGTTTATTTTCAAGTTGCTGCAAGGGTTTTGGAAACAATGGAAGGAACAGAGCTCCAGCAATGAGGTGCCCTGGGCTGCATCCTCTTCTGTGTTAGCATCACTGAGTACATGGAGGGCAGCACCTGGTCAGGGCTCAAGTGCCAGTTCTCCTGGATGGACAGTTCTGCACCACGACCTTTCCTGTCGCCCTGGTTCCCTGGCTCCCAATGTGTTCCTCTCCAGTTTCTTTTGCAGAGCCTCCAGCACAATGTACCTCTCTCTGGGGGACAGAGAAACATTTATTTGCTGAGGAAACATCTCATCACTTGGGCCTCTTGGTTCTGAAAGATATCATGTGAGTTCAGAGCTCTGGGGAACCTCTGTGGTCCCTCTCTACAGATTTCTGTGCTGCTGCCTCACTGCTTCCCACCTACTTCTTTCCATCCTGCTCACAATCCGAGAGCTCAGCCACAGAGCATGGTTACGTCACTGCCAGCAGAGTCTGGGTGAAGAGGCTCATCTGAACAGCTTGTCATCTTCTCTTCTCCCACACGCCTGTGGCTGGCAGAGCTCCTCGCACCAGGGCATCTTAGCACCGGCCTTGCGGGCCACACCTCTGTGCACAGAGCCAAGGGTTTGGTTTGGACTTCAAAAGTTGTGTTTCCTGTCAGATGTACTGCTTTCCCAAACTGTATTTCTTTTCCAGCAGAGGTTTTTATGCATTTCCTGACATGATCCCGTGAGTCCTTATGGATGACTTCCCCAAGTCTTAATTATAGTTCTCCGCACGAGTGTAATGGAGAGATTTATTTAGCACATGGGAAAAGCATGCCTATCATTCAGATTCTGTAAGCCTGTGCAGAGCGCTCCATGTTCCCCTCCCTTTTTGTCTGCAGGATGACATGGCTGCGATTTCCATGGTAAAAAGAGGCATAAAACCACACCAGCTTGAGCCAGACTGGCTCAGGATGTGGAATTGGGAACTGCATGTAACAATGAATTCCCTGACTTCTACTGGTGTCCCCTGAAGTTGCCAGGAATTTAAGCATCTTTAAGTAATTGTTATGACTCAGTAAGAATCCCCTGGCAGGAGATCCTGGAGAGCCAGGCCAAGGAAGTAGGACAGCCAACTGAGTGTAGCCTAGACCAAATTCTCCTGTCCTCATCTTGCCCTGGTTTTCGAACTGGTGGTTCCCTGGACAGAAGGAAGGCTGCACCCGCCCTGTGCTGCTGGGGGTCTCCACTGCCGTTAACGTGGGTGGAAGGTGAGAGACAGCTGAGTCAAATTCAGGCTGCTCGCTGGGTGATGTGCATACACAGGACCCAAGCTCTCTTGTTTTCAGTGCTTCACAAACAGTTCTCTGCCTGGAAACACAGCCCCATCTGAGAGAGGAACCAAGAAAGAGGCCTATAAATAAAATAGTTGAAAAACAGAATTCCAGAAGTCCTTGTCCATGTGTGACGGATAGAAACATACTAGCCAAGCCCGACACTTGCAGGGCACTGGTAGGATTCCTCAGCAGAAAGGGGACAGAGGCATCTGAGTACCCTGTCTGGATGTCAGCAGCAGCCAGAACAGTCGCACTTGGTCTCTAGGTTCAGCTGTAAATTGCTCCCAAGCATCCTTGTGGAGAAGGGTTACTCCATTAGAGCCATTGTTAACGATCCCCTGCTTCACTCTGGGGAAAGCACTCATGTGACATCTGATTTTTGAACATTCAAAACATTTGACTCCACATAAGTTTTTCTCTCTTTTGCACCATCTTGATGGGGAAGTGGAATCAGATCCTACTGTATCTGCGTCAACTGCATTGCATGAACAATGCAGCCACGATACGAGCAAATGCTGGCTCCTCTTCAGACGCTCCTGACGAAGAACAATTACAGTGGGGGATATTGAAGAGCTGTTGAGACAATTGTACTCTCACTCTCTTAAAAGTATACCAAAACTAGAGTGTACAAACCTGATAACCTTCCCCACACTCTTGCATTATTTCTGGCATTTTTTTTACAGTCTCCAGATAAGCGTAAGCGTGAAATGAAGCTGGTCTGTTTGGGTTTTAAGACGTGAGGCAGCAGTGTTGTCTTTCCACAGCAACAAGGGAGTATTTTCAACTTCTAAAACCCAGGGTTCGATAATTGTGCCTGCTCCGTTCACAATGCACTCCCTTTTGTGTTTCATTTGGGCTTTTTACTGGAACTCAACATTGAAGCTAAGCTATTTATCATCATCCTCTTTTAAAATGACTGTTCCCGGTCTATGCGCAGTCTCAGTTTTTCTTACAAAGTGATGGTGTCGAGAGGACATTCCTCCCTCATGAAAACAAAGCGTTGGGTCCCCTACTTGCAAATACACGTGCGTCTCTGAAGAAAAACCCGAGTATCAAGTAACACTTCATTTATATTGCAATATTTTAACCTGGTACCTGTTGTTGCTACAGCAGCATTCACTGTTTCAGTGGCTGCCTTCTAAGCAAGTAGGTTACAGCATGGGTTATGTGTGAGTACAGAAGTGTGGTCTGTGTGTGTGAGCGCGTGTTTGTGGGTGAGCGTTCGGGTGTTTGCACGTGCGAAGTTTTCCTACCAGTGAGCGTATGTGAGTGTTTGTAACTCACGTTGAGTCTTGTCTCTGGAAGTTCACGGTTATGTATCAAACCAGTTAGAACACTGCTTTCTTTCCCCTCCTTCTATAGTACTCGTTATCCTTTGTCATTAAGAGTTTTGTTGTAATATCTAAATGTGAAAATGAATAAAATCATAACTGGCAGCAGCTCTCTGGTTCCTGGAGGCCGCCGCTCCCCACACGGCACCGGGCCGCCCGGCTCTGCCCCAAGCAATTAGCACGTGTGGGTTTTATTATTTTCACTTTTGTGTCCCTCTGCATTTCCCCGCATCCTCTGGGAAACAGCTGCCCTTTGGGGCATTTCCATCCAGGATGAAACTCGCTCTTTTCTCATGATGAAGCCGGATATGCTTCGGGTAAGCGTACTGACGGGAACCGGCCCAGCGCCCAGCCCTTCCCTCCGCC